ATTCATGAGCTACCATCTGCGGCATGTTACACGCTCAAATCTGCGATTGATTATTGTTGTTGTGGAAACCTTGAATCAGGCCGAGCCATTGAGGTAGGGGGAGGCTGCGTCTATGCTTAAAGATGTTCACAGTGTGGCGGATTTAACATTTGATGTTTTGGCAATTTAACAGATCTCGAATAGCGACTACATTACGGTAGCGAATTACTCCGCTAGAAATATTAATAAGCGCGGCGAAACATAACAGCTTTGATACTCCAGTTTTGATTTATGTTCTAAAGCTACATCCATCATTGCATAACGATTATTCTAGTGGTAGCTCGCAGTGCATTATAGAAATACTCTTTGTGACGCGAGTTTTGAATAGATGACTCATTAATCATCTGGTTATAGACTCGTGGCCTCAATCGTCGTGTAAGAACTACAAAGCGCGTCGTGAGACGTGATGGACGTATAAGGAGTTTATTCTCATATGCGGCGTCCGCACTATAAAAAACCGTTGACCTGGCGACCTTCACAGAGCAAGAAGAAAGCTGCGAGGACACTAGGGTGGCAAGCCGTTCAAAGTGGTTATGGAGGAAATCGCCTTCGATCACCAAGAAGTATCTCCAAGAGAAGCCGCCGGAGCTTCTGCAAGCGGGAGAGGATGGATAAGTGTTCTGGCAACTCGGACTAATGTTAAGTCGGGACGCGAAGGTATAGCGTACCAATGCCGCATGGAAACGGTGCACTACGCTGCTGCACGTGTATTGTCAGCGCAAATTGTGGCCTACATGACACTATAGAGGATACGGACGCATTAGGGCTAACTTTTAAGTGTGTCAACGTAAGTGCTTATCATGTCCGTGCGTGCGTGGCGTGCGTGCGTGCCGTGCCGTGCGTGCGTGCGTGCGTGCATTCCAGGTTTAACTTTGCGTAGTGATCTTGTATAGTAGGTATATTCCTTGCCGAGTTTGGTCAGTCTCTAAAGATTTTGGCATTCGATTGTAGATCACCGAAATCCCGTGAGCAACCTTTGCATAGATACACATATTCAGGGGTGGTCATAATGAAAGATTTGATGCTCCTTGTATCAAGTAGACACAAAAAAACCCCAACGAGCTTCAAGGAACACCAAGGACGGGTGGGGAGCAAGGTAAGTTGCCACTTGAAAAAGCATATCCAGCATGTTTTGATGTCTGTTCGACTTCCGGTTTTGCTTCATAAAGACTTGGCATTTCGTAGTTCTTCACTCGAGGCACGGAGGATTTCTACCTTGGTTCAAACTAATTAACTGGAGAATGTGTAACTTTTTGTATTACTAACCGAGTTTGTAAGATTACAGTAAACCTCCGGTATCCGAGCATAATTATCTGAATCGGGAATTCGTCTCGAACAAGAATCTCTAGTCCCGTGAATATTTAATAAGGCCTAAATAAACTCTGTAACAACTAAAATGCTTTTTCACGCGGGCACAGTAATTAATGATTCAGTATGGCTCCTTTTTTTACGAAATCAGATCAGTTTATGTCGAACATCAGTTATCCGAACAATAATTGAAACCAGCCGGTCTCGGTTACGGATAAGACGTCTAACTGTAATATGGGGATCATAATATTATTATATTGTGTATGGTATCATACAATACATATGGACCCTGGGAATATCAGTCTCTTAATGCTAAATTATAAGTTGCCATCCTTCTATCTCTTCACCAATTACCTATATGTATATATATATATCTCCATGTATAATGACTGTGAACGCATGATAAGAACGTTGAAGATAGAATCAGGCTAACAAGTTAAAATGACCGCCTTGCAATTGCTTTTCTGTGCATTTTCAGGCATGATGTCATACTTAGACAGTGGCACAAAAGATCGTACGGCCATTCAAGAGAAATGGTGTGCTTGATGATGTCAGCACAAGCAAGGCCATGCACCCTGTGATTCTCTCCATTGCACATGGCAATGCAGGGGAACCACAATGGAAGTACAACTAGACCGTAAGTATGGTGTTGCTTGAGCCACAGTTACGTGTCTGCGTCCATCGCATGCCGCTGGTGTGTGGTGTAGGAGAGAAAGTTGAGGGAGAGAGAGAGAGATACGTAGGTAGTAGGTGGCAGGCAGACGAGCAGTGCATGCGGCGGGCAGGTGATAGGATAAGTTTTGGTAGATAAGGATAGTTCGGTTGTTGGCTAGATTGATAACATGCAGCATGGATAGATGGACGGATGAATGGGTGTATGGATGGGTGAGTGAATGGATGGATGGACGATGAATGGGTGTATGGATGGGTGAGTGAATGGATGGATGGAACGATGAATGGGGTGTATGATGGTGAGTGAATGGATGGATGACGGATGCAATGGGTGTATGGATGGTGAGTGAATGGAGGAACGGACGGACGGACGGACAGATGCATCATCGCATGCCGGGAGGAGGGAGAAATTGCGCTTTTAAGTTCTCTATTTCAATCTCGGTCAAATTATTCACACTCAGTGGCTATAGATTTACCAAACCAATAAGTTTGATGCAGTTTTATACAGGATGGCAAATATGTGTATGACAGTATTCAGTACAATCCCATACACAATTGAACATAGAAATTACTATTACCAAGTGATGATAAAAGGTCATATAGAATTAACTTGGTTGTGCTGCATGCTATCTTGGCAACCATATATCTGAAAATGATTTTCAATCCGTGGAATCGATCGACGGCACCGGCTATTTTCCAGAGAACTATATGCAGGACTGTAACCCCCTGCATATGGTGACCAAGAACTGCTTGGACTCCACGCCAGAGATGCAGGAGCTCTACATGAATGCCATGTGATATACACAGCTAGCGACGCAGAACGTGGGAAGTTCTGAACCACGTGACGTCACCGGGCCGATTGCACGGCGTACTGATGACGTGGCGGCGACACGGCGGAGAATCCAGAGAACTCTAAGCACTGTAGAGAAACTCTGATCAGTAGGAGACTGAGTCGATTCTCACCCGTTCTCTCGTCGGTCCGGCG